TGTCACCCCCATCTCTCTGCATTCCTCATCTCGTCTCCTGTCACCCCCATCTCTCTGCATTCCTCATCTCTTGTCTCCTGTCACACCCCATCTCTCTGCATTCCTCATCTCGTCTCCTGTCACCCCCATCTCTCTGCATTCCTCATCTCGTCTCCTGTCACCCCCATCTCTCTGCATTCCTCTTCTCGTCTCCTATCACCCCCATCTCTTTGCATTCCTCTTCTCTGTCTCCTGTCACCCCCATCTCTCTGCATTCTTCTTCTCTTGTCTCCTGTCACCCCATCTCTCTGCATTCCTCTTCTCGTCTCCTATCACCCCCATCTCTTTGCATTCCTCTTCTCTGTCTCCTGTCACCCCCATCTCTCTGCATTCCTCTTCTCTTGTCTCCTGTCACCCCCATCTCTACATTCCTCTTCTCTTGTCTCCTGTCACCCCCCCATCTCTCTGCGTGCCTCTTCTCGTCTCCTGTCACCCCCATCTCTCTGCATTCCTCTTCTCTTGTCTCCTGTCACCCCCATCTCTACATTCCTCTTCTCTTGTCTCCTGTCACCCCCATCTCTCTGCATTCCTCATCTCTCGTCTCCTGTCACCCCCATCTCTCTGCATTCCTCTTCTCTTGTCTCCCGTCACCCCCATCTCTACATTCCTCTTTTCTTGTCTCCTGTCACCCCCATCTCTACATTCCTCTTCTCTTGTCTCCTGTCACCCCCATCTCTCTGTGTGCCTCTTCTCTTCTCCTGTCCTGTCACCCCCATCTCTCTGCATTCCTCTTCTCTTGTCTCCTGTCACCCCCATCTCTCTGCATTCCACTTCTCTTGTCTCCTGTCACCCCCATCTCTCTGTGTGCCTCTTCTCGTCTCCTGTCACCCCCATCTCTCTGCATTCCACTTCTCTGTCTGCTGTCACCCCCATCTCTAGATTCCTCTTCTGGTCACCCCCATCTCTCTGCATTCCTCTTGTCTCCTGTCACCCCCCCTCTCTGCATAACTCTTCTCTTGTCTCCTGTCACCCCCATCTCTCTGCATGCCTCTTCTCTTGTCTCCTGTCATCCCCATCTCTCTGCACTCCTCTTCTCTTGTCTACTCTCACCCCCATCTCCCCGCAGTCCTCTTCCCCATCTCCTGTCACCCTCATCTCTCCACATTCCTCTTTCCTATCTCCCCACATTCTTCCTCCCCCGTCTCCTTTCACCCCCTTCTGAAAGAGCAAAAGATCTGCTCCAGGTGAGTGCCGGATCTGCATAACCCCTCCACAGACACGCAGGTGCAGGTCCGATCCGTGATCAGAGATGCAATGGAAAAAGAGAATGGTTGGCCGCACAAACAGCAATGTGGTGGATGAAACCCTTTATTGGAATCCTTTACATGCAATGTAAGAACATGACAGCTCCAAGATGGGGCAGAAAAACAGTAGATGCATTTCACACGAACACATGCTTAGTCATTAGGTAATGGCTCCTCTGCCCTGTCTTGGAGCTGTCATGTTCTTATCATATTGCATGCAAAGGATTCCAATAAAGGGTTTCATCCACCACATTGCTGTTTGTGCGGCCAACCATTCTGTTTTTCCATTTCACCCCCATCTCCCCACATTCCTCTTCCCTGTCTCCTGTCACCCCCATCTCCCCACATTCCTCTTCCCTGTCTCCGGTCACCCCCATCTCCCCACATTCCTCTTCCCTGTCTCCGGTCACCCCCATCTCCCCACATTCCTCCTCCCTGTCTCCGGTCACCCCCATCTCCCCACATTCCTCTTCCCTGTGTCCTGTCACCCCATCTTCCCAACATTTCTCTTCCCTGTCTCCTGTCACCCCATCTTCCCAACATTTCTCCTCCCTGTCTCCTGTCACCCCCATCTCCCCACTTTCCTCTTCCCTATCTCCTGTCACCCCCATCTCCTCCCATTCCTCCTCCCTGTCTCCTGTCACCCCCATCTCCCCACATTCCTCGTCCCTGTCTCCTGTCACCCCCATCTCTCCTTATTCCTCCTCCCTGTCTCCTCTCACCCCCATCTCCCCGCATTCCTCTTCCCTATCTCCTGTCACCCCCATCCCTATTTCCTGTCACCCCCATCCCTATTTCCCTGTCACCCCCATCCCTATTTCCTGTCACCCCCATCCTTATTCCTCCTCCCTGTCTCCTGTCACCCCCATCTCCTCACATTCCTCTTCTGTCTCCCCCATATCCCTGCATTCCTCTGTCCTGTAACCAGTCTCCAGTTACACCCCCACCTTTCTTTGCTCCTTGTCCTATCCCCCCCAAAAAAAAAATTGCCTCCAAATCTTTGCCCAATGTGCGGCTATTCCTGGCCCCCTACATTTCTCTGCCCCATGTCCTGTCCCCCCCCCCCCCAAATTCCCTACCCCACCCCAGGCTGCCATAATTTCTATGCTTCGGTTTTGTCACCTTGAATTCTCTACATCTTCCTGCACTGTATCCACTCCCCCCTTTATTAGTCTGTCCCATGCCTCTTCTCTTTGTCCTGTACCTCCCTCTGGTGTCTCTGTCCTATCTCTCGGCCTTGTGTACCTTCCCTCTCTGCATCCCTGTCCTGTGTATCTATCTTGTCTCTCTGCCCCGTGTCCTTTCCCTCTGTCCTGGCTTTCTGCCTGTGTCCCCCTGCCTTCTGCCATGTGCCTCTGCTCCATGTCCCATCTCTTTGTCCTGTCTCTACCCTGTGTGTCTCAGTGAAGATATTTGGCAGCACACCATGGAACTTCAAAATGAGTCCAAATGTTTTCTTGAAGACTGATCACAGCTCAGATCATAAAATGCTATGCTTTCGAGTCCACAGGACCCCTTCATCAGGCATGTGATGCCCTGTGTGTCTGACCCTGTGTCCCTGCCCCCTCCCTCTGCCCTGTATTGCCCCCCCATCTCTGCCCTGTATTGCCCCCCTCTGCCTCCTGCCCTGTGCCCCCCCGCTCTCTGTCCCTGTCTCCTGCCCCACGCTCCCTGTCCCCCTGCTGTCCTGTGTCCTCCTCTTCTCTCCCTGTCCAGTATGTGTGACCCCCTCTTGTCTCCGGCCCTCTGTCCGGTGCTCTCATTCTCCCGGCTCTCTCCTCTCAGCCAGCTGCCTGCTTGTCCCATCCAGCACCTCACATGTCCCCCTGTCCTCCCCAGCCCTATACCCTTACACGTCCCCTATTCTCCCTGTCCCCATCCCCTCACACGTTCCCCTGTCCTCCCCGGCCTCTCAACACATCACCCTGTCCTCGGCTCCTCACACATCCCCCATCCTCCCCCTGTCCCTCACACGTCCCCCCCGGCCCCTTAACACATCACCCATCCTCCCGGCCCCTCACGTCCCCCTGTTCTCCCATGCCCTGCCCCTCACACGTCCCCCTGTCCTCCACTTCCCCAGCCCCTCACACGTCCCCCTGTCCTCCCTGGCCCCTCACACGTCCTCTCCTGTCCTCCCTGGCCCCTCACACGTCCCCCTGTCCTCTCCGCCCCTCACACGTCCCCCTGTCACTCCGTCACCCCGTCCTCTTCCCCGGCCCCGTCCCCCTCACACGTCCCCCTGTCCTCCCTGGCCACGTCCCCTGTCTTTACCGGCCCCTCCCCTGCACACGTCCCCCTGTCCTCCCTGGCCACGTCCCCCAGGTCCTTCTGTCCACCTGGCCACGTCCCCTCACACGTCCCCCTATCCTCCCTGGCCACGTCCCCCTGTCTTCACCGGCCCCATGTCCCCTCACACATCCCCCTGTCCTCCCTGGCCACGTCCCCCTGTCTTCACCGGCCGTGTCCCCTCACACATCCCCCCCTGTCCTCCCTGGCCACGTCCCCCTGTCTCCCTGGCCACCGCCATGTCCCCGGCCACACATCCCCCTGTCCTCCCTGGCCACGTCCCCCTGTCTTCCCCGGCCATGTCCCCTCACGCCCCCTCACACGTCCCCCTGTCCTCCCTGGCCACGTCCCCCTGTCTTCCACCGGCCCCGTCCCCTCACACGTCCTCCCCACGTCCCCGTCTTCCCCGGCCACGTCCCCCCTGTCCTCCCCGGCCACGTCCCCCTGTCCCCGGCCCCTCCGTCCCCCTGTTCTCCCATGCCCACACGTCCCCCTGTCCCCCTGTCCTCCCCTGGCCACGTCCCCTGTCTTCCCCGGCCCCCCCTCACAGGTCCCCCTGTCCCCCTGGCCACGTCCCCGTCTTCCCCGGCCCCGTCCCCTCACAGGTCCTTCTGTCCTCCCTGGCCACGTCCCCCGTCTTCCCCGTCCCTCACACGTCCCCCTGTCCTCCCCACGTCCCCCTGTCCCGTCCCCTCACACACGTCCCCCTGTCCTCCCTGGCCACGTCCCCCCTCCCCCTTCACCGGCCCCGTCCCCCCTCACACATCCCCCTGTCCCCTCTCCTGGCCACGTCCCCTGTCTTCCCCGGCCCCGTCCCCTCACACGTCCCCCTGTCTTCCCAGCCCCCCTCAACGTCCCCCTGTCCTCCCGGTCCCCCCTCGGCCCCTCACCCTGTCCCGTCCTGCCCGTCCCCATCTTCCCCGGCCCTCACATGTCCCCTTCCCCTGTCTTCCCCAGTCCCCCCTCACACGTCCCCCTGTCCACGTCCCCGTCCCCTCACACCTGTCTTCCCCCCCCTGTCTTCCCGGCCCCCTGTCTTCCCCGGCCCCGTCCCCTCACACGTCCCCCTGTCTTCCCCGGCCCCGTCCCCCCCACATCACACTGTCCTCCCCGTCTTCTTCCCATACGTCCCCCGTCCCCTCACACGTCCCCCTGTCTTCCCCGGCCCCGTCCCCTCACACGTCCCCCTGTCTTCCCCGGCCCCGTCCCCTCACACGTCCCCTGTCCTCCCCTCCCGTCCCCCTGTCCACGTCCCCCTCACACGTCCCCCTCCCGGCCCCTCCCCTCACACGTCCCCCTGTTCTCCCCGGGCCCCTTCCATGTGTCCTCCTCTCGCCCTCCCGGCCCCGTCTCCTCTCGCCCTCCCGGCCCCGGAGCCCTCTATTTGGTGGGTGACATACCGTGACACTCCCCCCCCCGGTTGGTATTTACCTTCCTCCGGGCCGCCGCCAGCTTGTGTTGCCTGTCGTCAGCCATCCTGGGTCCGACCGGGGAACACGTCACCGCCTCCCCACAATACACCGCGACCTGCGCTCCGCGTGACGTCACCGCCAGCTGGACCATCCCAGAGGGCGGGAGTGGAAGGGGCGGAACCGGGGTGGAAGGGGCGGAAATAGACCTCAGCTGTCATCAGAAATATTATCAATCAGTTCTATGTCAGAGGGTTCGATGACAGTTACAGAAGTCCGGGGTGGAACACTGCGATTAACTGAGCTGCTGGAGAACTACAAAACTCAGTATGCAAGGGCATCTGAACAATAAACTATAGGATCCAGCATGTCATGACATATATACAATGTACTACAAGATCCAGCATGCCATGGCATCTATATCATGTACTACAAGATCCAGCATGACATGAAATCTATACAATGCACTACAAGATCCAGCATGTCATGACATATATACAATGTACTACAAGATTCAGCATGCCATTGCATCTGTACAATGTGCTACAAGATCCAGCATGTCATGACAGTACACTGTACTACAAGATCCAGCATGTCATGACATATATACAATGTACTACAAGATTCAGCATGCCATGGCATCTGTACAATGTGCTACAAGATCCAACATGTCATGACAGTACACTATACTACAAGATCCAGCATGCAATGGCATCTGCACAATGTATTACAAGATCCAGCATGTCGTGACAGTACACTATACTACAAGATCCAGCATGCCATGGCATCTATACAATGTACCACAAGATCCAGCATGTCATGACAGTTGTACAATGTGCTACAAGATCCAGCATGTCATGACAGTACACTTTACTACAAGATCCAGCATGCCATGACATCAGTACAATGTACTACAAGATCCAGCATGCCATGATATGTGTACAGATCATATATCTAATACCTGCTGCTGAATGATATCTAAGACCCAGTGGATCATACCAGCCATATTTGTGCCACTAGTTCTGCCAATAATGACCATAAATCACCAGCGATGTCAATGCTGATCATACCCCCTGGAGCACAGCAGGAAGGGCACACTGAGAACTGCCATGTCTCTGATTGCAGAGCTGCAATAACAATAATTCTAGATTAGAGTAGAACTAGAGGCAAAACGTTCTTTTTCATTTTGGATAAAGTAAGAGAGATTTATACCCGTCAGTTTATTTTTGTTCCTTCTGTGTCCAATTGGGGAGATTTCCTTTCACTTCCTGTCCAGTACCCAAAACAGGAAGTGAGTGCTAACACCTCCGAAGTGAGGGAACCAGTGTCCCCATTGGAAGATTTCCCCTCTATAAGGCTGCATTCACAGTTGAGTGATCTGTAGCTTGAAAGTAGAAGCTCCAAAAATGCTCAAACTTAAAAAATCAATTATTCTCTACACCTGATAGCATGAACAGGCACCATAGAGAACTATTGAATTCTGATGTTTGAGCGTTTTCGGAGATTCAAACTACAAATCGATCAAGTGTGAATTCAGCCTTAGTGTTCTAGTGACAACCCAAAATTTGGGATTTTCTTTTACTTTCACTTTCAATGGTAATGGTAAACAGGACAAACTGAGGGGCAAATCTCCATAATGGGGGCACAGACAGCAATAAAAACCTAACAGGAGGTCTAATCCCTCTCCACTCATTCCAAAACGAAAAAATAAATGTTGCCTTTAGTCTTTCACCCTAAACTGCAGAGTCTGGAAGTGGGATTCTACTCGGCACTCATTTTTGTGCAGCAAAATTCAGGAAAGAGTTATACTGTATCACAAGGGCAAGTATAAAAAAAAGGCCCTTAGGCCCCATTATTCATGCCTTATCCAATGGGGCTGTTCACATGTAGGCAATGTATTTCCATGTGCTGTGATGCCCAGAGACTTCTATAGCAACACATGAAAATATTGCATTTTCCTGCCTTTCCTGCCCCTAAAAGTAGATCCTGACAAAGTCCACACAAAGATGCCACTGCAGGAAATCAGTCCTCACTGTCCAATCATAAAATTCATGCTGCATGAAAATGCATATTAACCAATCAAAATTGCACCACAAAAGCATAATGAAAACACTTGTCAATGTGCTCCAATGGATATAAAAAAAATGCACTAAAAAAAAAAACGACAAAATATCCGATATAGATAGATATGAACCTTGCCTTAGGCCTCATTCCCAGGCACTGAGGCCCAGGGGCGGACTGACCATTTGGAAACTCGGGCACTGCCCAAGGTCCCGGGGTCAATAGGGGGCCCCATGAGATGCCCCTGGTACCTTTTTCGAGTTTGGGCAAGGACACAGGGCCCCAAAAGTTATCAGTCCACCCCTGCTGAGGCCTATACACCATGACTGGGCTGGAGTCAGGTGCTGTGTGCAGGCAGCATATGTAAGTCTATGAGGACACAGTGACTTCATGGACACAGCTGCTCATCATAATTTGCACACTGGCCACTCACCTGCATGCATATCCACATAGACTTACATAGACTACTCGCATGCAGCACCTGGCGGCTCCAGAAACATCAACAGATGACCAATTCATGGTGTACAGGGCTCAGCGCCCATGTCATCGAGGCCTTAGACTTGACTGGAAAGACAAATATTAGATGGCTTTTATTAGAGGTAAAATACATATGTAGCACCCCTCAGGTTTAGCTAGGGGAAGCTAGACAGGTTTTTTTAGATAGAGGCTGAGTAGCAGCCTAGGATGAGTCAGCCAGGTTACTCTGGGTCAGGGCTGAAGGCTCTGTAGGTCAGTTATTTGATATCTCCCCCTGCTTTAGAACCTTGAAAAGCTTCTAGAAGGCAGTGGGTGGGGGCAAGAAGGAGCTGATCTGCAAATTTAAGGGATCTTGGCCAGTCACCAAGCATGGGGCTAGGACAGCCCTTAACTATGATTAAGCCTGATCAGGAGGAGTAGTATCGGGTGGAAGATAAAGTGAAGGCTGGAGTGTGGAGCCTGGGAGGGGACCAGTGGAGAGGAGCCTACCTGCAGGCAGGAGCTGGAAAGGAGGATCTCTCAGCCTCACTGTCTACTAAGAAGAACCACCTGTGGAGCAGGGAAGGAGCCAACCCAACATAAGACCTGGAGGCAGCCACCAACCCATCAAGCCCACAGGACAGGACTGAGTGAGTACCTCTTCATCTTGGGCTGCTTCGCTAAAGTGGCAGTTTCTGTGTCCCCTTGCCCAGGGATCCCCTCAGACAGCTGGGTGAAGAGGAGACTTCATCTATGGTCTGAGGTGGTACACCAGGAGGACTAGAGAGCTCTTCTGCGAAGAAAACTTTTTGTCTATGGACTTGTACATAGTTGCTGAGGAGTTTGTCCTTATGTTTGCAGTTTCCTTGGGCATCCCGTACACCCCTTAACCCCATCCAAGTTCAATACTCCTTAATAAAGCTAAAAAAAAAAAAAGAGATGTGGCGTCTTGGATCTCCCCACCCGGCTGCTGACATCTTTGGTTAGCCGGCTTCTGGATCTCGACTAACGTCCAATGTCATTGGCAGGGATGACGTCACTGCCTCCCATGCATGAGGGTTCAGTCAGATTCGGCATTGCCAACTTTGTGAAGTGAGCTGTGTGTGTGTGCAGATTATTGTACAGGGGTGGACAGGCAGCTAAGTAACTTTAATGCAGAAGACACAAAGCTTGTCTCTTCTGCATTAAAATTCCTGCCTGTCCTCGCTTTTGTATATTTTCACCTAAAGTTCCACTTTAGGCAAATCTTTTTTTTTTTATATAATCCAACTTTAAAAAAGTTTTGAGGCAATACAGAAACAAAAAAAAACAGTAGGAAAACAATATAAAGCTTGTTTCAAGCTCATACAATGTACAGCAGGTTACATACTGTAAAATCAGAATGACAGCAACAAAATAAACATGGTCCAGGTACAATCTGGGTATTAAGCAATAGGATGGAACCCACTCACACCCCAAAACATTGACTAAGTCAGATATATATGGTTCCAAGGATTCAAGTATAGATACAATAAAATACAAAATATTATCAATACAACTGGGCCAACCTTATAGAGTGTACCATTGGTGAAATACACTACCGTACAAATGACTAAGAAAAAGAATTATCCTAAAAAAGAAAGAAAAAAAAAAACAAAGAAAACTACTACTATCCAGCCAATACCTGGGTGGAAAAATAAGGGGGTTAAGCAATAATAGCAAATGAGCTTTTATGCCTCACATGGGGAAAATAATTAGTCATCTGGGATCTCAGTAGAGAGTACATCCAGCCCATCCACATATCTAAATTACTCCTGTTAGTTTTTGACCGTATGCACCCAGCCTCTATAATAGTATCTACTTCTCTCTACCAATCTAATAATGTGGGGCAAGTGGTCTGTTTCCACAATCTAGGGATAAAAGATTTGGCTGCATATAGCAGATGGGAAACAACACTTCTTTTATAAAGTTTGGAGGAGGGGACCACGTGAAGAAGAAATTGAAAGAGAGAACTTTCTATCAGTCTAAGAGTTGTCTTTTTAATCCAAGGGAAGATGGCCTCTCAGAAGACTCTAATCTTAGGACAAGACCACCAAGGATGGAGAAGTGTGCCACATTGGTCGCACCCCCTCCAACAATGGGCATCAGCTGTAGGAAACATCTGAGCTAAACGGAATGGGGTTTTATACCACCTAGTGAGAAATTTGTAAGATGACTCCTGGATAAGGGAACTAATGAAGGGGGAATGTGTCAGTTTGATAATCCTCTGAATCTGGGGGGGGGGGGGGGGTAAATTACAATCCAAACTCTTTCCCATTCCTTTATGTAGTATGGAACAGACTTGGAATGGGAGCTTAGAAGTTTGTACATTTGAGACAGTAAATGCCTTGAAATCCGGGAATTGAACACACATGGATTCAAAGAGCATAAGTGTAATTAGGGATCACGGCTTGGACTCCAGCCTAGTTAGGAAGTTTGTCAATTGGTGGTGCCACCAGTAAACGAGCGTAAATGTTCTGTAAGAATATTGTAAGAGTGGTCTGTTTCCAAAATCTAGGGATTAAAGATGTG